CCAGCTGAGTAAAAAAGATTTATTTGTTTTATAACCATTATTTGTGTTCATATAATAAGTTCTATAGTCTTCTAATATAAAAGTGTTCAACATCATAGTATCATCTAAAACTGTTTCGAGTTCTGATTTTTGTTGTTCTGATTCATTATCACAAATATTGATAAATGGGGGTTTTGATATTGAATCAATACAATCAATATTTATACTGTTAATTGTGTCAACTTTATCGAACACATCAGTTCTGTTTTTCAATTTGATTTCTTTTGACAATGTTTTATCAATTGAAATAATGTCGTTTTCAGATTGTTGTGTGCATACATCAAAATTATCACTGACATCCAATGAAACAGATATTTGAAGTCAGACTTTTTCAATAACAAAACAGTCGTCTATTAAAACAAGTTTGTTATTGTTATTTTTAGAAACAAAAGTAACCAAATCTTTATCATCATTGCGGAAAGGGACACATTTACCAGCCAATTCCACCCATTTTAAAGTATGTAAGTGGTAATTTTGAGTGTTAATTCCAGAAACATTCATTAGAGACGCACAAATAATCAAGAAAAAAACATGTGAATTTCTTCTTGTCGCAAAATCCAACACAACTTTGGTTTGAAAATGACTCACTAAATCCGCAGCTAACAAAAAGTCATTTTCATGTGTCATACAAGCATTAATATAGGATTTGGACTGTGAAAATGTTTTTTCTATTGCATTTAATTGTGGACTATATGGAACACTATAAGTTACATATATTCCATTTTCTCTGCATGTATCATTTACATTCTTGTTATGAATACCAGCATTATCTAAAATCAATGATACAAAAGAGTTTTTGAACCATTTTTTAATTTGCGGAATGAATAGTTCTTTTAGACAATTGACAAAATCTTCATTTTTGTTAGTCGTGTCTTTTAATCGAAAAACCAATCTTTTTCCTGGTGCCATTAACACAATTGCTGTGAAAGATAACCCCTTTATGATTGGAAAAACAACATCACAACATTCTCCTTCAATAGCTCTACCTTGTGTTCTTGATTGATTTGTATTATATCCAACTTCATCAACATAAACAAAATAAAAATTAAGTGAAATCAAAATATTAAAATGTTGCCAATACACATATCTTTGAGCTATTCTCAAATTTGAATTTCTATCTTTGGGTTCTTTTTTTTATTTGTTTTGTTGTAAAACCACATTTCTTTAAAATTTCATGAACCGCACTTTTAGATATTTTTGTATCCCGAATCATTTTTTCAGAGTCAAACTCCATCAAATTGCATATAGAAACAACTCTTTGTTTTCTTATATCGCTTACTTCTTCAGCTATTTGAACCAGAGTCTTTTGTGGATTATTGCGAGTTATTCGAAGAATGTCTTCAATCGTTTGGAGATCAATCTTTGAATTGCCACATTTTGGACCTCTTTTACGACCTCTTTCTCCACCCACTGGCCTATTTGCAATTAAAAGCGCTTTTTGTTTTGATACTTGAAATTCGTTTGATGTTCTTTGGGGGTCTTTCCAAATTTCAAAATGTCTTTTAATAGAAATGTTTTTACACCACATTTCATAACTTTTAGGATTATCAGGTAAATAAAAAGGTTGTTGTGTTTTTGTTGGAGTTGAGGAAATAATTTGTAAAGGTCCAATTGGACCCCTTTCGATTGTTTCGAAACGTTGAAAAGTGTTGCTTTTTTTAAAATCTGAGAATATTGTGTTTTTCTTTTGAAAGTGGTGATAAATGTTGTTACTCCACTTTAATCCATCAATATCAACAACTACTCCAGGTTCTGGTAATTGAAATATGTTTTTATAATTGTTAAAATAAATATTATTTTCTTCAAAAACAGGAGTTTCAATAATTGTATTAAAGTTGAAAGGTGAAATATAGTCGAATA